TTGAATTGCGTTTAGGCCTCTGAAGACGACGATTACGTCGAAACGTTAGGCCGTTAAGTTAATAAATGTTCCACCTAAAAACCTCGTATGGCAGAAGAATTCTAACAACGTCAATGTGTAGCTTCTGACTACCGTACTATCAGCGCCTTCGTGAACATCAACGGGTAAAAACTCAAACTTTTCGAAGTTTGCATTTTAAGTAAACTTTTCAACATGACTCACTTTTTGTTTGATGTAACCATCGATTTTCTTTCGAGCTCGTTCCTTAGTCAGCGCCATATTAGATGCGATCCCTTGTGCGTTACCATTTGTGGAGTATACCATTTCCTCTGGTAGAGAAAAACCGCTTAGTTGGAATTCCATGATTTTTTCTGTAAAATAAGTTTTGTTTTGGAGACATACCAAGTAGAAAATCTTACAAAATGAAAATTAATATGCTGGTGCTGACTGGATTAGGCTACACACATAATATCCACTGCTGGTTACAGTAGAGCCCAGATTTTCTTATCAGAAAATTAAATTCACTCCAAGGTAGTTGAATCGCGAGACTCAGATGCAGAACAGCTGTTTCAACCACCCTCCACTAATCATCAAGTCCTCAGTTTTATGACGGTAATCAACTCCCTATCTGGGATTCATCCCCGTGTTTGACAACTGACTTACGGCAGTTTACGTTCATGTCAGTGTGATCACCCTCTCGGACGAGTTTGGTACTACTGAAGTGATGTAATAGAGAAGGAAGATAGGTTGGCCTGAGAAAGTGTATATTCGGGAATCGGTTTTTGGACCCTGTAGTGTTAAGCCACTCAGGTCGTCCTCATACCACAACACGATTACTGTGGTACAGGTCCTAACTACAGTGTGTTTCAAAAGTATGTGCGCACCTAACATTTTGTTTTTTTTGGGAATACTATTGCTTTCTGNGCTAACACAATTTTTTATTGAAGAAAATTTTTCTTTGTTTCAAAAGTATGTGCACACTTAACAAAAAACAAAATTATAACCGAGAACAGAAACCAATAGGGCCCCTCAAATTCTTGTAAAGACTATCGACTACGAGGAGTCGTTTGAGAATGGTTTCGTTACGGTAGTTTCACTAGTTACCTTTGAAATGAAAAATATTGAGTGTGCACATACTTTTGGATCGTCAACTGGGCCGCTCTTTTTCATGCATTGCTAGATTCATTCGAGACCCCGGCAGCTTTCGCACACACCTATAACTGACCGTCCACGTATTTTGAGTGCTCAGGACAACAGGGGAATAGACCGTCTTGTGGCGAATACTTTTTTGTCTGTGAGTCAGATCCGAGCTCAGATGGGTACATCAGTCTCGTGGCACTCTTTGCGCTCTTATGAGTATACCACACGAGAGACGATGAAGAAGGCTACTCGAATCAATACTCGCCACAAGCGGACATGGTTGGAGTTTACTCGTAAGAACATGGCAACATCTTGGTACATGGTACGGTTGTTCGAGAGCTTTCAGGATTTTCGTATTTTTATAACAAACGACGTGCTGCACCCATTTTGTCTTAGGTGATCTTTTCGAATGAGAAGAAGGTCATTCTCGATGGGCCGGATGGATTTCTTCATTACTGGAAGGACCTTCGCCGAGAGCCACTCGTGTTTTCGAGGAGGAATTTCGGAGGAGGCTTTTGATGGTCTGGGGCGAGCAATCTCCGGCCTTGTCAGCGTGTAGCGGGAATTGAGTCTAGGAGCCTTCTTCATCCTCTCTCGTATGATATACTCATTAGAGAGGATAGAGCGCCACACGGTCGTACGCGAGACTGATAAACACATCTGAGCTCGGATCTGACTCACAGACAAAGAAGTACTCGCCACAAGACAGCCTATTCTCCTGTTGTTCTGAGCACTCAAATCACGTGGACGGCTAGGAATAGGTTTTGTGCGATAGCTGCAAGGGTTTCGAATGAATCTAGCAACGCATGAAAAACAGCGGCCCAGTTGCCGCTCCAAAAGTATGTGCACACACAAAATTTTTCATTTTAATAACTAAAGAAGCTATCGGAACGAAACCATTCTTAAACGATTCCTCGTAGTCGATAACTTTTGCAGGATCTTAGGGGGCCCTATTGATTCCTGATCTCGGTTATATTTTTGTATTTGCCAAGTGTGCACATACTTTTGAAACAAAGGAAAAATTTTTCTTTAATCAAAAATTGTGTAAACATTTACGATTCTTTCTCAGAGAAAGTGTTCATGAGTTATCGCACACGTGGAATTGGATGGTGAGGCTAACAGGTTACAGGAAGCAATGGTATTCCAAAAAAAAAAACAAAATGTCGGGTATGCACATACTTTTGAAACGCACTGTATAAGGAAAAGCATCTAAGTCTAAAAATCTACAATAGATGATCCAATCACTTAACCTCAAGCCCATGAAGCCTTCACCCTCCTCTTATCTTTCCGGATTCTGCTAACTGGTAACCGAGCCTTCTAAGAGGATAGAAACATTATGTTGGACCGAAATATCTCATCATCCCACTCTTTCAAGCATTTAGATTCACCCTGCTTCCCTAACTCCTTGATAATCTTCTCATGAGTGTTCAGCTTAATGTTATATCAATATTCACCACTCACCTTGTCCAGACGGAAGTGGTGCACAAGCCTCTGATAGAGGACTATCAAAGAGGAGAATAGCGAGAAACTGCACTGCAAGCAGCGATTCCTGTCCAAGCATATCCTCCCTGAATTCGTGAGTCATATTTTCCACTCATTGTGGGTGAACGAGATCGTAATACTTAAAGTCAACACAGCCCACTGTCTTTATTGTGGAAATTCAATCATCCAAATTAATAAATCACGTTTTTCGACAGGACCATACTTCTGGCAAAGGTAGAACGAAACAATTGTAGGACGGAAGGCTATAATTGTTATGACCCCAGAGGAGAGAAACCCCGTTCCTGTGACAGCAGTGGAGGTTACTGAAATTTCAATTCAATTGTAAAGAAACTGTTGGCGCTGAGCTTACTGGCGATGACAATTGTCACGGCTATTGGAACCGAAACCTTTGGGAACAGCTTTGCTCGAAGGCAAAGGCCTATTGAAGGAAAGATAGCAACACTTGGTTTTTTTAATATAATGGCCTGTATGATGGGACCGCTGAAGGGGTGAGAGCAAGGACCAGGATAAGGTACCTTCGTCGTTTCTTGCAACTATGTCTAATCGTTTCAGGAGAGTCACATCTGGCAGCTTTTGATGCACTGGTATATTACGCTTTTAAATAGTTTAACGTATTTCTTCGAAGAGCGCTATTCCACCTGCCACTTCTACATCGAATATTTTCTTTATCTGTTCACAAGAAGAAGCAAAAGATACAGGACGTAGATATAAGTTATGTGCGGAGGTTGTGATATTCAGCATTCAGGGAGAAAGGAAGAAAAACGCCCTCACGCTTGCTAGAGGCTATGAAGAAGGCTCGTTTCGGCCATCTATATTTATCACTGCAGCTGGACTGCTTATTTCTTCACGACCGGTACTTCCTGACCCACACCCAACAGTACAGCAGTCGGATTACGTAATGGGTGGTACCATGGCGCCCACTGTAGGTTAACTGGAGGTTGAGTGATTCTTATGACACTAGCTGAAGAACGAGAAAATGGAATCCGACCAGCTAACCAGTTTCCTATGAGAAGTTTTGACGAAGAACGGGGGCAATTTTGTTCAGTTTGAGTCATTCAAGGAACTGATGGACAGTAGTAAGCCGTCATGCTAATCATGAACCAGTCATCCACCGATTTATACTGATGCAAAATGAATCATTTTAATCAAAAGCTTCAGGAAATGTTCTTCAGCGATATGGATAGCAAGCAAAACATGGATGACGAATCAAATAATTCCCGAATACGCCGAAAACGTTGTTGTTCGGTAGGCAATGATGAAACGTTCAGTGAAAAGAAATTTCTCATGAAGAAAACCCGATCTCTCAAGTTGTAGAGAGCAGAAGGGGACGTAATGTGTACCTAAGAGAGTGCTAAGGGTACGGGTACATACGTGCGTCCGAGGATGCGCGCGGCAAATTTCGGGCGAAGTTTGTGGCGATTTGAAGGGCTCTGTCGCCTATTATTGGAGCACAAACTTGAAGTAGAGTAGTTAAGTAGGGTCAGCCGATGCTTTTAATCGACTCTACTTCAAATTCGGGCCCCGATGATAAGCGCTAAACCCGTTCAAATAGCCACGAATTTCGCCGCGCAATTTGCGGTGGCATCCTCGGACGCACGTAAGTTCCGTCCCCCGAGTGCTACACATCTCAACGAAACAATTCAAATTTTTTATTGCACAAATGCTCCCGGCAAGGCAAGCGATTTCAATCTCCACATTCCTTGCTCAGCCACACTGAAGCTGAGTCTGGCTACTAAAACTTCATTTCTATGCAGCTTTTCACTTCAAGGTCATACCTCGGAATTTCCTCACCTGCTTCCAGAGAAGTGATGAGCAGCCACGCATCTCCTTCACTGAGGGTTCCCTTCTCTTCCACTGTAGGGCTAAGAGGGATGACCTTAATTGGAGGACAGGGGAGTAAATCACGATCAAAAGGTACATATGGGTAATTGTCCAAATAAGCAGATGATTTCAGATGATGGTCTCTGTTTCTGCTGGGCCGGGTCCACTTATATATTCTGGGTCCTTTCAGCTGTTTTCATGCATACGTCTGTGGAGAGCCTTCGAGCGCCATGTTCTTGCGCATCGGATTAGCCAGAAGCTAAAGCAATCAGACATTTCCAATAATAGGATTAGATGCACAACGAATTTTCGACGTTCTAAAGGAAACTCCGTTCTCCGTTCGCTGACCGCAGACTCATCCCGGTGTTACACATTTTCAGCTGGGCAATCGAATCACAGCTCTCCTCCCACTTGTCCTCATTGTACATAGAATGTGGAATCCCTACAGATCCAACCGTGTAAGGTCTTGCTTGGGCCGGGTGAGGCTGCGGGAACCCTCAGTTTCATGTCGTCTTTTATCTTTGAGTCTCCTCCTTTCACAGCTTTTTCTTACTTCCAAGACAAGAACTATTCAAAAGGTACGAGATTTCTTAATGGCAAGAACCCACGGCTTCTGAACAATTTGGGTCGAAGACGTAGATCGCTAGTAAAACTCGTCCGGAGCCCGCAGCCTCGCGATGCTGAGGAAGAGACGTGTCGAAATCCCTTGTAAAACCTCTCCTAACCTTATCAATAAATCATTCGAAAAGATCTTAACCTCCAGAAATTCAACGGATTTTCGTGCTTTCTTCGCCACCAATGTAAGACACCATTCTGTATCAATACTTTTGCCGTCGATATCAATATCCGCCTACGCCAACCAAGTCTTCCATCCCTCCGGGGTCGGTTGATTGGTACCGGACTCGTCTGGGAGGATAAAAGCACTGACATGAGCATTGGCTCGCCATCGCAAGTCATTGTATAGGCCAAATACGCATTCAATACGCCTTGCGATTCTGAATGGGAGTTGGAAGCGTGTGCGTGGGCGCATCCCTCCTTCGAGCTTATTAACACCAAGTTTTTATCCTTTGAAACATTCTACTTTTGTCTTGTAATCTAGTAAAGATGCATGAAGTGGTCGCAAAGTATACCTTTAATGGGTTTTGTTAATGCGATATGCTATTAAAAGGAGACATACATTGATTAGCATATGAAAACCTGCTGAGCAGTACTTCTGCCCAAATCAGAGGACGCTTTCGAAATAGCTGCTGATTCTGACTCACTGACAAGGGCTCAAGCAGCAGTTTATCGATCATTTTCCCTAATATGACTGTAGCCCAAGCGGCTCAATAGCCAGCCACCGTTAGGCAAATGCACTTGTCCTACTTACTTTTGAGCATTATGATGCAATCTTCACTTTATATTTTTAGAGGTAGCACTATAAAAAACTCATTGCTTGTCTAACCATTATNGAACTTAATGACATAGTGGGGCCTAATATAAAGAGCGAAGCAAATGTGAGCTCCAGAACTTCGTAACAATTCATGCCTGCTGAGTGGCCGCCTCGTAGGGGCAAGGACTATGACATGACACTTTTTTTTGCAAGTGCACCCACGAGCAATCAAAATTTTTAGAATTCTTTATTGTTTTATTGGCAACTATCCAATGAATGAAAACCGGACGGTAATTCCGATAGTGACAGCAGTGGTATAATCAATTGTAAGAAGAAAGCGTGTTGGTGTATCAGACACAACAGAAATGAAAAAAATCTGATTTTTTTTACAAGTTCAAAAACGTGAAGTTTCATCATTCACTGTAGTCTGGGCTATGAATGATTGCCTTAGATTATTTTGATTGTTGTGCCAGAGAATTGTTTCCCGTAGATGCCGTTTTCCAAACTTTCTTCGACTTGTTCCAAGATCTGTTTCCATGTTGAATTGCTCCAATTTGCAACGTCGGCATTATAAATCTGAACATCAACATTAAACTACGTTCGTAAAAAGTCTTGTAGAAGTAATCCATCCTTTTTGGGTTAAAAAACTTTCCTCCTTGTATTGTTAGAATGAAGGCACTACTGAGGGGCACTGAACACGACGAATATGGTTTGGGCATACACTAATATAATATTACCAGAGGACGTATGGTGCAGTCAAGTCTCGGGCGGTTATGAAGTAGGCGACTTTACTTTCGCTTTGACTTTTACCACCCCAATCCAGATAAGTTGGATTAAGTATTAAGTGTACTTTTGTTAGCTCATTGCAACATGTCACACTCGAAACGACCGGTCATCAGAAATAGCGGCGAAGCCAGCCAGCAGTATGGCTATCCGACGTACCGTGCTCGTTCCATCTGGTGCTGTTAGAGCCAGCGAATCAGGATGAGACTGAAACGATCGCAGTGGGTGCTTATGGCCGCTCTTCCAATCGTGTGCGTCCCCCTGTGATCGTGGGAGTAAGAGCCCAAAGATAGTGCTCAAAACGAGTTCAATGAAGCGAAAGATTGTCTATTCTTCTGCTCAAAGCACCCGTCCCTACAGCTCTGTGCCCCTCACAACTAGTACTATATGAAAACTAGGGCTCAAATCCACCAGTATTCCTCAAATTCCCTAGTATCCTCCATTCCTATTGACACGACGGATGTCTACTTTCGTCCATCTCAACTTGTCGTGCCCATCGTTTACGTAGGTAAAGAGCACGTGTGTGGGCATGGGCAAAAGAGACATTGGGCTCTGCTCAACCCTAAACTCAGAATAGGTTCACTTAATCACAGCCGTATGAGTGAGAATTTGACTTAAAAAANAAAAAAGGCTCAAAACAAAGAGAGTTGATTTGCGGTTGGTTAGTTCCATGGGACAGTCTTAGGCAACTGCTAACAGTCGCTGTTCAGCCCACATTCATAAAAACGTCGTTGCTGGATACGTCGATTAGTTGCTCAGCAGTTCACTCTAACTCAGCAATGGAACGAATTTATGAAATTTGTTTCCTTTCGGAAGCATATGTTGCATCTCTGAACACACGAGCGCTGGTGCCTTTCAAAACTGGGAGCTTGGGAAGACGGACTATATTAGGAAAAGGGATAGGACAGACTTTCGAACGAATCAGTGTAGTGGAGTGCTGCAACTAATAAGTATAGTGCTCACCTTGAGGTTTACTTTGTAAGTAACGAATTCTTGGGGGACTGGTTGCAATGATGCGAACTGTTCTTTACGATCGCCAACCGCTACTTCCCCGCCGTTTACGGTGCATTTTGTGCCTGGGCAAATGGAGCCTATCCTGTCTTCATTTACAACGCAATTGTATGCACTTCCGCTGCTTTCCGAATCAACTGTAAAAAAAATTCCATAACAAATCTGAAAGGTAAAGTTTCCGATTCTTAATGTTCAGAGCTCAAAACTGTATTAATCAATATGAAAAGCAATGTGAGAGCAGTCCTTGAAGCAAATCTTGCAAAACAGTTGAATAAGCAAACATCATCGTTTCCTGTAGGTAGGTGACGGACTAAACCGTTCTAACAACCTTGCACTCAATTATGAAAGGAAGGGGGAAGTAGGAGGTGGATAGATGGAAATGCGGAGAGGGTATGCGCATAGGGGTTGGAAGCCTAGACCTTTATTGACAGGGGAATCAGTCAAGGCATTTAAAAGGAAAGTGTAGTATATGTTAATAGGTTGAGGTTACAGATTAGGTTTAAGAAAGATATTGATCGAAAAATAAGAAGATCCCTCCCCAGGAATCTCAATGACTCTATGCTGCTGCGAAGCATGACTGGTGTTTACCGTGATATGAACTATCTGTATACTTCCTAAATCCATTGCTATACAGATTTCCACTGCGGACTTTCATATAAACGGCTATTCGGAGTAATGGTAACGAATCAGGCGAAAGGTTGGCGAGAATATGGTAGAAGAAATGAGCCCACTCTTCTCGTTCTCCACTACTACTTTTGCGAAACAAAGTTAATTCCCTTTCATTCGAGCTTTCCGCAAGAGGTCAGCATCTCATCCACGCCTTGTGTTCCTCCCTTACTTCAATAAAAAGAAGTGGAGTTTGAAGAAGCAAGCGACCAGGAGCAGCTTCAAAGAAGTGATGATAGAGAAAGCAACGCATCTGTTACAATTTTTCATAAACGAAACCTAGTGTTAAAAATTTTCGTTAAACTAAGTTCACGAGAAATACGAAAGAGAAATCAAATTCCTACGGTGATGCATATACAACTCTATTTCACAGTTCCTGCCTCGTGCGGAGGTGGTGTAGTGGTAAAAGGCACACTATCACAAACGCATGCTCACGGTTTCGGACCCCGGATGTATGTCCGCGTAGGCCAACAAAGCCCTATCGTTGAGCTCGCCACATATCGTAGAAAACCAATGAATGTTCGGAAGGCGCAATGCAAAAGGTGGGTCCAGCGTTTGTGGCAAGGTAGGTACGACTGATTGTAGCAGTCTGGGAGATTCCGGTCTTACCACCGCAAGACTACTATCAACAAATTACCGCGCGCGTACGTGCGACCGTGGGAAATCGAACAATACTAGTACACAGATACCTTGTCATTGTTATGAATTTACTTATGAATTTAAGAAGAAATACTCACACTTAATAAGTGCATCCGCCGGTGTATTAGCAGGTTGCACGTTAACATTGTTGCACTGCAGTGGATTGTAACTAGACGACATGAATTGTATTTGGTCCACAACTTTATATCTGTCTTCCATTGAAAGCCCTTTACCATTCATCTGATCCCTAATTATACGGTGCAGCTAAAAAATAGGAAATGTCAGAACAGAAATGGTTCAGAGGACTTTGAGAAAGGCACGTGAAGGATTGTTGAAAAAAATTCGCCCCATGTACATCTCCGACCCCACCAGCCCAGATGCTCACCCCCTTTAGCCTGAGCTCCACTTGCGATAGGTTAGGAAATAAATGATTCTACATCAGTGGTGAATGAAGGTTCAGGAGATATATCTATGTAAGCATTCCTCTCTTTAAGATGATTACGGCTTGTTTTGAAAGCGTACCAGAGGGTAGTTAGCAGAATGGAAAACAATTTGCTCCACAGTACTACTCTTGCTTCCGTCAGTTACGAATGAAAACGCCACTTTCGCTCGCTTGGAGAATTCGATAGTCAACGGGACCACATGAGGTACAGGTGATTGAGACGTCTGAGACAAGGATTGTCTTTTTCGAGATTTTTACTTTTCTGATGAAACGACATTGGAGACAGAGTTAGGCCAGGGACCGATGAAGCCACAAAAGATGCTCTGGTCTGACAAAAACAAAAATTGATGTGTAGCTTCTTCCTACATCACTGCTATCATCGCCCTCGTGAACAGGAAGACTATTCGACTGTAAAAGCCCAAAGTTTTCGAAGTTCGCATTTTCAATTAACTTTGCAATCATGACTTACTTTTTTTTCAACGTAACCGTTGATTGCACTTAGTGCACCTTCCTTACTCGCCGATATACTAGGTACTTGCGCTTGTGCTTTCCGATTCGTGGAGTATACCATTCGCAGTGGTAGATTGAAACCATGTAGTTCCAAACTCATTATTTTTTCTGTAAAATGCGTATTGTTTTGGAGGCATATAAAGAAAGTCGTACAGAATGAAACATTTCTTGCCGGCGCCGACTGTATGAGCCTACGCAACTGACATACCCTAAGGATAGCACTTTTATAGTGGGAGACTTAGAAATTCTTCATCAGAAAATTGAATTTAGTTTGAGTTAGTTGGATCGTGAGACTCAGATGCAGCACAGCTGTTTACCTTCCTCCACTAGTCATGAAGCCCTAGGTCTTTTGACGGTAACCAAATCCCCATCTGGAATTCGTTCCCGCATTCGACATCAATTCAGAATCTATGGGACTGTTTGAAACGCATGCGACAGTTTAAGTGACTTGCTGTGGTCAGCTTAAGTCCAAGTCAGTGTTGTTTTTTTCTCGGATGAGTCTGGTACTGATAAATCGATCTATTAATAGTAGAGATGTAAAGCCGGGTTAGCAGTATGACTGGTGGTAGGGGTGATTAGTACATTCCTAACTATAAGGTGAGCATCTAAGTACGACACATAACCCGAGCCTTTGAAGCCATCCCCCTCCCCTTTCCGGGTTATGTCCTTCTAGCCATTGAAACCCATACCATTCCTCTCACTGCTTCAATAACTTCCTATACATTTTCAGTTTAATTTATCTCAATATTCTCACCTTTTCCAGGCGTAACTGGTGCACAAGCCTCTGATAGCGGACTATTAAAGAGAACAATAGCAAGGAACTGCACGACAAGAAGCAAATCTTGTCCGAGCATATCTTCCCTGGAATCAAAAGTCATATTTTCACTTATTTGGGGGCAGTTTCGGACGAGGTCCCGATACTCGAATCACGACACAGCCTGCCGTATTCATCGTGGAAATTTATTCTCCAAAAAAAAACAAATGACGTTTTTCGACAGTTGGACTATACTTCTGGCGAAGATAGAATGAAGTAAAAGTAAGACGATGGGAATGTTGACCTCACAAAAGAGTAACTGCCCCTCCTGAGACAGTAGCTAAGGTTTTGACGCTGAGCTTACGGCCGTGATAATTGTCACGGCAATTGACAACTATCTACAAATCTTTGGCAACAGCTTTGCTCAAAGGAAAAGAGTATCGAAGGAAAGAGAGCAACATCAGATTTTTACCTATAATAACCTTTCCGATTCGACCGCTGGAGGATTGAGAGCTAGGAAAAGGTACCACCGTCGTTACTTGCAAGCTATATATTTCCAGTCTTTCAAGTATAGTAACCTCTGGCAACTTTTGCTATATTGGTATATTATGCCTTTAACTAAGTCGATTCTACCCCCTCCCCCTCCTACCACTTCTAAATCCCATTTTCTCTTTAACTGTCCTCAAGAACAAAAAGACACAGTAGGCGGATACAAGTTGTGCGCAGAGCTTACGGTATGCAGCATTTCGCGAAAAAGGAAGAAAGTGTCTTTTCGAGGAAACAAATCGCTTGTTCGATAGGTAGTAAACTGATGTTATCGGAAAAGAAGTAATAATACGATCATCTGAAGCAGTTACTGCTGCTGTTTTGGTTATTCCGTTGCGATCGGTACCCCTTGGCCCACGCGCACACAGTACCATGATAGCAGTCGGATCATGTAATGGATGGATGATACCACGGTCCCAACTACAGTTTAAGTGAGGTTTAGTAATTTCAAGGGGACCAACTGAACAAAGAGAAATTGGAATCCGGCCAGCTAATCAGTTTCCTCTAAGAAGTTTGAAGAAGAATGGAGTGCAATTTCAACCAGTTCAAGTCATTCAAAGGACGGGTGGGCGATAAGCCGTCATGCTAATCATGAGTCAATCGTTCTCAGATTTATACTAATGCAAAATGAATCATTTTAATCAAAATCTTCGGGAAATCATCTTCTACGATATGAATAGCAAGCAAAATATGGATGACGAATCAAATAATTGCCGTTGCTGTACGTTGTTCTGTAGGCAATGATAAAACGTTTAGTGAAAAGAAATTGCTCACAAAAAGGAAGACCCGATCTCTCCGTCAGTAGAATGCGGAAGGGTGACGTAATTCGTACCTAAGAGGCCCAAACACCTCAGCGAAACAATTCAAATCGTTCATTCACAAATGACCTCGAAAACAAGTAATTACAATCCTCGTTCAGCTATACTAAAGCTGAATCTGGCTACTGAAACTTCATTTCTATGCCGCCTTTTACTTCAAGTCATTGCTCAGCTTTATCTCGTCTACCTCCAAAAAAGTGGAGAATACCACGGATCTGTTTTTGAAGGCTTTTTTCTCTCTCTTTGCAGGATCTCTAGCCGGTTGGTGGCGAGGGGCGACCCTGGGTAGGGGACAGGGGAGTAAATCACGGACCTAAGGTTACGAGTACATGTCCAGATACGCAGGTGGACTCCGGGGATGTTTTCACTGTTTGCGCTACGCAGCTCCACTTTTACCATTGGTATCCTTTCAGGTGTATTATGCATACATGTGTGACGAGTATGCTGGTGCGGTTTTCATCCTACACATAGGCTCACCCGAAAGCTTGCATCAGAGTGACTGCGAAGTAATCAGACGTTTCCAATTATCGGAGTAGTTGCAAATCAAGATTTCAACCTTCAGAATGATACTCCGTTCTTTGTTCGCTTTTACATTTCTGTTACACATTTTTAGCGTGGCAATCAAACCTTAGCTCTTCTCCAAATGACCTCATACATAGTAGCTGTCGAATCCCTACGGATTCAACGGTGTCATGGCTGTTGAGCAAGGGGTGGCTGGGGCAGCACTCAGTTTCGTGTCTTCTTTCAACATTTTTCCATGTCTTACCACAGCTCTTCCTCCTACTACTTCCAGGGCAAGAATTATGCAAAAGTCACGAGATTGCTCATTGTCAAGAACCTACGGCTTCCATTAAAGAATAGTGGAATGGAACACTTTGTGTCGAACACCTACATAAAGAGTAAAACTCATTGAGAGCCCGCTGCCCTCGATATGCTGAGGAAGGGACGTGTCGGAAGGCCTAGGTAGACCTCGCCTAACCAAAGTAATGATTGAAAAGTCTTACACTTCAGGATCTCAACGAGCTTTCGTGTTTTCCCACTAATACATGACACTATCCTGTATCAATACTTTTGCCTTCGATATCGATATCCACCTAAGCCACTATACCTTCCATCTATTCGGGGTCGGAAAAGTTACTCCAGACTCGTCTAGGAGGATAAGAGCACTGACATGAACTTCGGCTCGCTATGGCAAGTAATTGTATAGGCACATACGCATTCCATACACCCTACGAATCTGAATGGAAGTCACAAGCGTGGGCGTGGGCGCGTCCCTAAGAAAAGCTTGATGAGCGCCCAAGATTTTTTGTTTTAGACTCCGTTCTTTGCCTTGTAAGCCAGTGGAGAAGCATGAAATTGTCGCACAGTATGCTTTTAATCTCACAAGGTTGGCGATTTGTGGGCAAAACTCCAGTCTCGGACGGGACTTGAACCCGTACTTGTCCTTTCCGGGGACCGTGCTCTCATCCCTTACACTACCGAGACCCCG